GTGCCATACGTGTGCCCAAGACACCCCCCAGGACATTCAGTGTGATACAGGGAGGGCAGCTTGAGACCTGAGGCCTGAGTCCTGGGACTGGCTTAGCTACCTAGCCTCTTCAGGTTGTATTCCTTCTTTCACAGAAAGAGAAAACAGCTCCTGATACCTAAGGCCGTTTGTGAGATAGTATGTTTCTGAATAGTGACCCACTTAGCTTCCTCTCTCCCTCTAGTCTCCTCTGGGTCCAGCCCACAGCCTTCCTACCCTCTAATCCTCCATACAGGAAAACCAAGTGACCACAAGGAGACATGCTCACGAACATGAACAGCTAGCCTTGCCTTTTCACCATAATGAGTTTTTGGAAACAGCCCCACAGAGGGTCATTCTAAGGAGAATCATATTTTTGCCACAATAACCACATTTAATTGGAGGTTGTGTTCTTGAACAAAAGCCTGGGATCAAATAAATCAAGAGCATAACCAACAGCTTGTCATAAAAATAAAGATAGAATAACCATAACCCCTATAATAATTTAAAATAGTAAAACTGTGCTCCAGTTCCATAAAATGTCCTCACGAACCTTTATGTCCTCAAAAGGCCTGTAGAGGGAATGGGGGCTCATTCTGTATGTGTTGGGAGATGAGGAGAAAGCGGGCAGTTGCTCATCTGCTATGTTACACCCACCTGTTATACTCGAGAGACATTTTTTCAAAAGCTGGTGCTGTTTTGAAATTTACTTAATGACCGAAAATGAAACATTCCTAAAGGCACTAAGACTCTTGATTTTTCTCTGCCATGTGTGAAGGGCTTTCAGTCTATTCCAAGGTGCTCAGGACAGGCTACCATGGCCTACCACAGCCTAAGGCCAGAGGAGCGATAAGCTCCCTGTCTCCACAACCCTGGCAAGACTCAGGGCAGCATGTCTGTCTTCTTAGCTTGGGGAGTGGTAGACAGGGGGTGATTTTGCTGTTTTTGATGATCTCCTGCAAGTCCTTTGTTTCTGGTCAGGCCTGTCTCCACATGCACACTGCAAGCCCACACAACTGAAGGCTGATGTTATCAGCCAAGTCGGGCAGGAGATGTATCTGAGAGTCCGCCCCTGTTGGAGATGGAGGGAGACCAAGAGGAGAGAAACCAGGATTGCACTGAGGCCAGGGTGAAAACAGGCTGCCCAGTGGGATGCTAGAGAGCTGAGAAGGTAGGTAGACAAAAGAAGTCATGAGCCGTGAGCTAAAAAACTTCGGGGCTGGGAACAGTAGACTCGAGGGGTTACCCAAGACTATCCATTGGAATCTCGTTGAGTCACTGAATCGATGCTGGGAATGGCTGAGCCCAGCAGATGGACATTTCAGAAACCTGTTAGGCAGAAGTTTCTCCCCTGAGCAGGACAATACCGACTCTGCAACATGACTGTCTACCGGCTTATAATTCCCTGACTGCCTGCAACACAAGATTCTGAACTTCTTACCCTATTTCAAGGCTGTTTCTTACATAACAAACAAGTTCCCCTATGATAAATTACTTGGTCAGGGCTGGTGATTTGAAAACTAAAAAATAACGGGAAATAAACCAATGGTGCCGAGGAACTGGTTGAAGAGGAATCCTCTGCCCCAACTCCAAGTATAAGCTCACTCAGATAATAAATAAATGCATATGATACACAGAAAGGAGAATGAAAACATTAACACCCCAAACAAATTCAACCACAAAAAATGTCTATAAAACTGACATCATGGATGTATTATGAGGGTGAAGAGTGAAGGGTGAGCCACGGGCATGGCATGACCAAGCTTGGGGGTCTGTGTCTGTGTTAGCAACTGGCACACAGCCCTATAGACAGGCAGGCACTTCGAATAATCCCGTTCCCAAAAGTCAAAAGCCTTAACTGAACACACAGAATCCATAAGGAAGAAATCAGACTAGCCAAAAACAGCAGTTAGTGAGAAGCTGAAATTCTGGCACACCCTGCCCCTAGTCCAAGGTGAAACAGTGAGGGCAAAAGTGGTTCCATGAAAAATAAAATCAGAATGTAAAGAACCATTCCTCAAAGTGGCTCAGCAAATGCCACATATGTCTTCAGGGACAGATGCCGAAAGTCTCCCTCTGTGATCAGCCACCTCCACTTTTTATGGCAAGTTCCATGGCCCAAGACATGGGCACCCCTGCACCCCTATATGTGCAAGTCTGAGAACTTCATGTTTCATCCCACTCAGAGCACAAGGCAGGCGATGTCTTGGCAGCCTTGGGTTACACCTCAGGCCCTTCAGAATCTTTCAAAAAAAATCTGTTTTCCTTTATCTAAATCAAGCTTACCAATGCATGCAACTTTTTTTATTTGATTCCCTTTTAATGATACAAACACCTAAAAACACCTGAAGCAGTCCAACAAAGAAACAAAATCCTAAGTGTAACCAGGACTCCTTACATATTTGCTCTCCTAGTTCCCGTAACTTCATAGTTGCCTTATGACAGCAAGTGTCCTTCTGTTTAAACTCCCAGTTGCTCCGGGGTGGCTGCAGGATTATTAAGCCCTACCAGTAGCCTCTCTTCACAAAGCCCTGGGGTTCTCGGTTTACTCGTTCTCATGATGACTTTCAAGGACATGGCCTCTCCAGCTGATGAGGCTGGCCCAGGAGCTCTCCATTTCTGCTACTGGGTTGAGATATGCTCTCAGACATATTAAAATATTAACAGGAGGCATGTGGCATTGCAGAGATTTTAACAAATATGTGCTGTGGCTTGGTTTTGTTTGACTTGCTCGAGATCTCCTGCCCACCTTCCCCAGTGTAAGCCGCACACCCCATGCCCCTCTGCCTACCACACGGTGGGAACACCAGTCAGTCAGCTGCCTCCTGGCCAGTGTGCCTGGGCTCCAAAAATGGACACATGATCCAAGCCAGCCAATCAGAGCTCTTCACTGCAGTTTTAAGTTAGAATAAGGGGAGACCAAAGCTGTCTCTTTTCACAGAGATCTCAAGCTGGGAAGATGCAAGCCTGAAGCTATCTACAGCTATCCTCTTCTCCCGTCCCCGCCCCTGTGTCCTTGCCCCCACCCAAGAGGAGGAAGTCACCTGCTGAATAAGACATTACACGCACAGTGAAGAAAAGAGATGGAGACCTTGCCTGACTGAACTGTGTTGGACTCAGGATTCACTCAGTTGTATAAGACAACTGATCTCTTTTGCTTAGCCCAGGTAGAGGTGGTTTCTGTCACTTGCAAACAAGAGTCCTAATTTGGGAAGGCATACTGTCTCTGGAATCAGACACATCTGTGTATGAATGCTGTCTCCACCGATTACCAGTTGCCTAACCTGGGCCAAGTTATTTAACTTACGTGGCCCTCAGTTTACACAGCTGTACGATGGGATGATACCAGTATCCACTTGCATGGAAAAGTTAATGATCAAATGAGATAAGCACATTATTAAGAAAGTCTACAAGTTAGATCTCTCTCTTCTCCTCAGAGTAAATAATTCTTCATATGTAGAATGGGTACCCCAGAACCCATTCAGCTCCCAGCTTTATTGACAGTGTGAAAATGCCCTAAGAAACATGCATACTTGTAAACCTCCTGGCTTGCTGGGCTTCGTCCTGTACAACTCACATCCTTAAAGACACCCTCAAGGTGTTACACTCTCAATTAGGTAAAAACCTAATACTTTGAGAACAGCTTCTGCTTTAGTTGAATGGACTTATTATATTTACTTGAGAAGCGATCACTGTTCTTATGTAGCATCACAGAGCACATCTCACAACAAACACGCAGTCTGTACTTTTCACTGCACCACCATTCCACTCCTGTAACACCACGTGGACCCTGGAGACAGAGACTATCCCCTGATTTCTGCCTCACTGACTAATGCAGGCCTGGAATTTCAAGGGCATGGGTGAGTGTCAGAAAGGAAATAAATCTGGGGTAATAAATCTGGAGTTTCTAGCCAGTCGTGGCTGGACCTGGAAGGAGAGACAGACATACCTCACTGGCAGAACAGATGCATCTCGGGACTGCTCCCCAAACAATACGCAGACCATTTGGCAATGCCTCCTTGCCCCTCAAAGAGCAGAGCCCAGATACCATAAGACTCTAAAACTGGCCACAGGTCATACCGGAAAGGTCCTGTATGATGAGGACTCTCTGAGAATATGAAGTATTCCGTTTAAAAGCAGAGGTGGGCAAAAATGAGCCGAGGGTCCCAACCACCCCAAAACCTCTTGACTCGGTCCCCTTGGCTTGATTTCCAATTTTTAGTCTCTCCAGGCTGCCCCTCTGACCCAACACCTGCTCCACATACACGTTACCACACAAAGCGTGCATTCTGCCTGGATTCTCCCAGCTGGCAGGCTGTGAGGAAGGGAGGGAGCAGGTGGGGTTTTGAAAGTGGACCTTTCAGGCTGTCTGCATCAATATGGCCAGGAGAGGGTCTCTGCGATACTGTCAGAAAACACCCGGCACGAGGGGCAGAGAGCAGACACAGGAGCTTGCTACTTTATGGCAGAATGTCCTCTCCGGGCCCCAGTTGCCCCAAAGTATCCTGATCCGCATAGAGAATCATGCCGGGTAAGGAGTCAAAAGTTGCTCCTTGTTCAATGTCAGTGTCTGACTGCCCGTTGGGCAGAAAAACACGATCAAACATGTTTTGCTTTTTTTTTTCCCCAAACATGTTTTTTTTTTTTTAATGGTTTTATTGTTACCAAGACAATACACGTACATGGCCAAAATATCGGTTGGTACTAGAAGTCATAACAACAACAACAACAACAACAACAAAAAAGCAAGCCTCTGCTCCACCCCTCCCACCCCTAGTTTCTACCTCCTTTAGAGAATCATCTTCAACTCTTGCTGCCATTTCTTCTGGTATTTTCTCCCATATTTCTAAACAACAGCCATACATAACTACTACTTTATTCTTTTTAATCTTAGGGATTATTTCCTAACTTCTCTGTACGGAATCTGAGCTTTTAGCTCTCAAATCCCCCTCCCCCTTAAACACCTCCCCAACCTCCAATAATAACATCACAAATTTTTTATGTCAATGTATAGTACTTTTTCATTTCAACTTTGCTCACTGTCCAGTTGCAGAGTATATTACAATTAAATGTTTTGAACTTTTCATTTTTTCTAGGGTTAACAACTGCCATACTTTTGTTTTTCTTAGCTTTTTTAAGAACCTCAACTTCTTAGGAGAACTATAAACTTCTTCTCAATAATGATCAAACACATCAGATAATTAATTCACCACTTGCTTTGATTTTGTTCTCCTTTGGAGATATCCTTCCTGGAATATTTTGTCCTCCTCCTCCAATCTAAACTGGATGCTTTCTAAGCCTGATGGATAGTGGTCCTTCCCCATCTCTTGGACATTTCCTGGTGTCTATCAACATTTTGACTGAATATATCCTCTTCCAGTGGTTTCTTAAGAATGAATGCATAGAAGGTTACAATTTTTAAACCTGGCATTTTTGAGTGTCAATATTCTAACTTTATGCTCAACTTACAGTTCATCTAGGAATAGAATTCTAAATGGAAAAAAAAATTTTCTTCAACATTTTGAAGGTATTATTTCATGGCATTTGAAAGCAATGTCGCTGGCATCCAGTGTCGCTACTGACAGGTACAGTGCCACACCGATCGTTCATCTCTGATGTGCTGCGCACGCGCATGTGTGTATGTATGTTTTACTTCTAAACTTTTAGAATCTTCCCTTTTATCTCTGACAGTCTAAAATGTCATGAAGATTTGCCTTTGTGTGGGTGCTTTCTCTCTTTTTAAAAATGTTTACTTACTTTTGAGAGAGAGAGAGAGAGAGAGAGAGAGAGAGAGAGAGAGAGAAGGAGGAGCAAAGAGAGAGGGGGATAGAGGATCCCAAGCAGCCTCTGTGCTGACAGCAAAAAGCCTGATGCAGGGCTCAAAATCACAAACTGGGAGATCATGAGCTGAGCCTAAGTCTGACACTTAACAATCTCAGCCACCCAGGCGGCCCTGTGTGGGTGCCTTCTCTGTTCACTCATATTGGATCTTTGGTAATAGTCTTCTCATTATTGGTAAACTTTGTCTTTTGATTTTTAGGAATTTGTGTTTTGACAATTCTGGCTCCACTGTGTTTTTTTTAAATGCTCTTTTTCTAGAACTCTTATGAGTTGGATACTAGCCCAACCAGTTGACCCTCTACATTTCTTTTTTTTTCTCACTTATTTCCTTCTTCCTTATTTTTGTTTTCTCCAGGAGATATGCTCAATTTTATTTTCCAGTCTATTGAAGTTATTATTTTGGCTATCATTAACTTCAAAAAACTCTTTCTTTTTCAGTTTTTCAAAGCTGTTTTGAATAATAGCCTCTTCTTGTTTAATGGAAGCAACATCTTATCCCTAAGGTGAGATTAAATTTCTTCAAAGTTTTCTGTTTTTTGTGGCCTCTATTTCTATCTGGTTCCTTTCTTGGTTCTTTTTGTCTCTTTCCTAACAGAGGCTTCCCTTGAACATCTGATGATCCTCCACTGATGTTCATATGTATAAGTGAAGAAATTAAAAAGCTCCATGCACACAGGTGGGGCCTTGGCAACTTGTTGGGCCTCCCAGTAAAGTGGTAAAAACCCTCAACTGTCAATTTTTGTGGAAATTCTCTCTCGAGATGATCTGTTTCCACAAAGAAGAATCTTCCCATTTGCTGCTTTGATGGTGGTGATGGGGACATGGTAATTACATCTGTCTACCAGCATTTAGCACTGGGAGTGAGGGAAAGCCATGAGGCTCTTATTTAGTATACTGACTTGCCCGTAGACCTCTGGCTTCAGCTGGGCCTTGTGTCCAGGAGTTGAGAGTTGGTCAGGTTCAGTCTCTCCATAGAGAACCTTTGGTCTTTCAGAGTGTAGAGAAGGAGTAGTGGTCTGGTGCACAGAGCACAGGAGGGGATCCAGGCCTAATTGATTCTTATTAGACTTTTAATCAACCCTCCAGTTTTCAGCTTCACTGCACAACCCAGGCTTTGAAAGTACTTGATGCCTCCAATTCCTCAGCCCTTTAGGAATTTTCTGGCACAACCTAGCTTATTTTTCTTGTTGTCCATTCCCCTAACCACAGGCACTGCACAACATAAAATGCTGAAGCCAAAGCCAGTCAGTCATCTATTCACTTTCCATTGTCCATCAACCTGTTGACTTCTCTCATCTGCTTTTGTTTATGTTGCCATAATTTTACAAGTTTCCATTTTCTTTTTTATAAAAGCACATTTTAAGGATGGTCATTATAAAAAAAAAAAAAAACAGAAAATAACAAGTGGTGGCAAGGAGAAACTGGAGCCCTGTGCACTGTTGGGGGGAATGTTGGGGGGAACATTGTGGGGGGATGCACACTGTTGGGGGGAATGTAAAATGGCGTAGCTGCTGTGGAAAAAAAGTATGGAGGGTCCTCAAAAAATTAAAAATATAACTACCATATAATTCAGCAATTCCACTTGTGAGTATAAACCCTAAAGAACTGAAAACCAGGACTTGAATGGTTATTTGCACAACCACGTTCGTAGCAGCACTATTCACAATAGACAAAAGAAGGCAGCAACCCTGGTTTCCATCAATAGATGAATGCATAAAACAAAAGGTGGTACACACATAGGATGGAATATTATTCAGCCCTAGAAAGGAAGGAAATTCTGATACACAATACAATGAATGAACCCTGAAGACATCAGGCTGAATGAAGTAAGCCAGTCACTAAAGAACAAATACTGCCTGATTCTACTTTCAGGAGGTACCCAGAGTAGTCAGAAAACAGAACGGTGGTTGCTGGGGGTAGGAGGAGGGGGCATGCGGAATTATTATTAATAGGTATAGAGTTTCAGGTTTCTAAGATGAAAAAAGTTTGGGAGAATGGGTGGTGGGGGCATTAAGTGCCGCTGAATGGGACATTTAAGCATGGTTAAAATGGTCAACTTTATGCTATGTATGTTTTACACGATAAAAAAAAAAAATCAATGAGTCATATGTATGTAGACTTATTTCTGAATTCTGTTTTATTTCAAATACCTATAGGTGTATCCCTTTGCCAAACACTACATTGCCTGTAACACAATAGCTTTAAGTATTAAAATCAAGAGATAAAAGTTTAAAAAATGTAATTGAGACCAAAGTTACTTCTCTATTTAAAAATTTTCCACGGGGCGCCTGGGTGGCGCAGTCGGTTAAGCGTCCGACTTCATCGAACTCACGGACCGCGAGATCGTGAGTTCGAGCCCCGCGTCAGGCTCTGGGCTGATGGCTCAGAGCCTGGAGCCTGTTTCCGATTCTGTGTCTCCCTCTCTCTCTGCCCCTCCCCCGTTCATGCTCTGTCTCTCTCTGTCCCAAAAATAAATAAACGTTGAAAAAAAAAAAATTAAAAAAAAAAAAATTTCCAACAGCTTCTTATTGCACTAGAATAAAATCCAGTCACTATGGCTCACAAGGCCCTGCACGACCTGGTCCCTGCCTAGTTCTGCCCCACTCTGTCCTTACCCACATAGGCTTTCTCTCTGGGCCAGGCAGTAAGATGAACACAGCAAGTTCTCCAGCCAGGAGTGGCTCCCGGTGTGCTGGATGACAGGGGTGCGCAGCCTGTCAGAGCATAGACAGCGCCCTGAGAGAGGCTTGTGTGGAGGACTGTGAGAGCATATATAGAGAAAGGATCATTGTGGTTACTACAGCAGGAATCCCAGGCCACCTCTCAACACAGTGCTGTGCTCCAAGGGAGCTGGGCTGGGCGACTGAAAGGGCTGGGTCCCTAGAACAAGCCATTCAAGCTTTACCAGAAGCCAGATGGTCCCCAGTAGCTCTGCTGATCCTTCTGGCAGCCCCTCAGGGACCCCATGCTGGGATGGGCCAGGAGAGGTGACTCCTGAACCAAGGAGGATCCCAGGCGGGGCGGTGCAGGTGCAGGCCAGCAGAGCCCTGGGGCTCCCTCCAGTTCTCTGAATGTCCCTCCACAGACAGTTCCGGTATAACCAGGGCAGCTATTTTGGCTTGATCTAGTCCGCGGTGAAGTTCTTACACAAGCTCAGGAATTTCAGGGCAGGACTCCAGGGGACACAGGAAAGAGAGAAGAAACAACTGCCAAGACCCTCAAATGAGGTCCTACTGTGAGCATGCCTGTGCATGTGGTGCTTCACTGGGTGTGTGTTGGGGCGTGTTGGGGGCAGGGGAATATCAGAGGGGTTTGAATCCTAGTTCAAAACACTCATTTAAAGCAGATTTAGACTTCCCAGTCCAAGCCACTGAAATTTATTTCTGAAGAAGCATCTAGAAAAAATGGAGGGGAAATGCTGCCCAGTTATTTAGTCAAAACAAAATTCAAACTTTCTCCCCCTCCCCCAACCTGCCAATGTCCCTTTCACCTATGTGATCCTCAGGGATCCAGAGGGACTGGGGCCCAGCTGAGCTGGTACCAAGTATGTTCATCCCCAGAGGAGGCCAGCCCTGCAAATGGCAGCTATAGTCATTGCCTAGAAGTCTAGGTGCCTCCTACACCCCCAGAGCCGGTGAACAGGGTCAGTGGATCCTGCTTTGGCCTAAACAACCCCCAGCTGGTAGAGAGGGATTCACAGCCAGTCCATTTCCAAGATTGCTGTAAGAGAAGCTCGAAGGTTTGCTATGCGGGGGGCGCTGCAGCCCAAATAGGCCTTCTTCCCCAACCCCTAGAACATCCCTAATCCAAGAAGGATGGTGAACAGACATCTACAGAAAGCTGGAGCATCTGCTCTCCTTTTCTTGTCACAGAGAACTGGAACAAATAAAAACAGTGCCACCGTTACATAAAAGCTCTTGTTACTAACGTGGGTTAAGGAGTCTGTAGGCAGGGCTTGCCCCCACCTCAGTGTAGGTAACTGCTGAGGCCAACCAGCTGAGAGAATTCCAGGTGCAGTCCAAGCAGCTGTTAGACACACTGGCAGGCACCAGGGTCACCCTACATAAGGCCTTTACTGAATGAAGCAAGTCAGCCATAGTCACCTCCAGGCCTGACGAGAGGGGTGGGGAAGAGGTAAAGATGGGTGAGGTTGGTCCCCTGGGGAGTGGCAGGAAGTGGCAGGAGAAGCAAGTTCTAGGGAAGAATGTGCTGATGGGATGTTTTGGGGGGAAGCCGACTGTTGGGAGTGGTCCTGGGGGCTCCTGAGAAATTGCTTGGTTCATACTTTCTGTTGTTTGTTAAAAAAGGTCATCTTCAGGTTGGGTATGGGAAAAGGATCTGTAAACTTATGTCCCTAGAGAGCCCACGTTATTCCAGAAAAACTTAGCTCCTTCTACCCACACCACTCACCTTCTCAGGGAGCCCCCAGACTCTGGGAATTCCTGTAACACTCCCTGCCCCCTCCACCAAGCCTGCTGCAGCCTGAACAAGTCAGGGGGTTCCTGCCCCGGAGACAGAGGGGAGCCAGGCCAGTCTACAGCCTAGAAGGAATGGGCACGCCTGGGGCCCCAGAACTCCTGGCCCCCAGAGAGCTGCAGGACGCAAGCATGAGAGCACTGTTTATTCCAAAGCCGTTTTCTGTTTTAAGAGCCTCACAGCTGGGTCCAGGGCCAGGGTCCCATTTCCAAAGTCGGTATTTTTTTCCTTCTTTTTGCTGGACAAGGAGAAATGGAAAAAACCAATGTTGCTTTGGCCCTCACTCAGCTTCTTTTGAACTGATTTTGCTGCCCCTGGCAGGATCTGCCACCAGGGTGCAAGCCACGAATGCGGGCCATGGCAGAGAGAATTCTCGGCTCTGACTGCCCTGCTGGGTCATCTGAGGGGAAGACCCATGGAACACAGGGAAGTCTGACTTGCGCGACTCACCAAGGCTTGCTCTAAGTCAAAGACCCCTAAGAGCGCTCTGGGCTCAGACCACTGCTACTCCTGACCCCTGGCCACAAGAGGGCCTAGTTCTCCAAACACACCTGCAGATTGGATACTGGGGACAGAGCTCCATCTCTCAGTAGGTAGTAATTATTTATAAAGCCCAGAAAAATATCCCAAAGTCAGAGCTAAATGCCAATACAACCGATTCTCTGTTATCTCCCTTTTGCAAAAGGAGATAACCATAGTTTTTATATTTGCATATAGGATGTGTCACACATCAGCTTTACCCTCCTAATTTTGCCCTTTCAAAAGCACACACGATACACTGCTAGGTGAATAGGACAGACACCCTAGCAATGTGCACGGCTAGTAGAACCAAGTGAGGAGAAAGTCCAAGATGCTCCATCCCTCCCCTCTGCCACTCCCCTAGGACCACTCCCTCCCTCTCTAGAAAGCCTCTCCAACTATCCAGCCCCCTCTGAGCTACCCCACCTCCCAACTTCCTGCACCTACACTATTATCTAAAGGGATTACATTTTTTTTTAATTTTTTTTTTAACGTTTTATTTATTTTTGAGACAGAGACAGAGCATGAACGGGGGAGGGGCAGAGAGAGAGGGAGACACAGAATCGGAAACAGGCTCCAGGCTCTGAGCCATCAGCCCAGAGCCTGACGCGGGGCTCGAACTCACGGACTGCGAGATCGTGACCTGGCTGAAGTCGGCCGCTTAACCAACTGAGCCACCCAGGCGCCCCTAGGGATTACATTTTTAAAGCCAGCAGACATTTATCTGATCTCAAAACGGATCGTTTAAAATCAGGCCTATTTCAGAAAATCTGGGGCAACCAATCGCCATTACATCACCTTTCATATTTCTTTCTGCCCCACAGCAAGCACGGTGACCATATTTTCCATAGAATCAGGACACATTATCTGACAAGTGATTTATAGGCAGCCTCCAGGTGCAAAAAGGAGTCGGTGTTATAAAAGTTTCAACATCAAAATATTGGAACTCCAAGGATAGCTGGATGACTTTACTGGAAAAAGTGAGAATACTTTAAGTCAGAATGGCTCACAACAATCTGGGATGACAGCACCTTTACCACTAACACAGGTTATGATTTTGTTGATTCCAGGCACATTTGGCACCACTCCCTGTAAGACTGTGAGTTACTCAAGAGGGGGAACTAGACATTACACCTCTTTTGAAGTTCTCTCCATACCCAGCATGACTACTAAATCCACTACTGAGTGGATGGATGGTTGGCTGATCTCTCTTCTCTCCCAGCTCAAGTGTCATTTCAGAGACACCTTTCTTGATTTCCCAAATGAGGTCATGCTGTTATGTTCTCATGGCACTGTGTGTTCTTCCTTCAGGGTCTTATCACACTGTATCATTCATTCTATGCATGGTTACTCTCATCTGTCCCAGCAATAGGCTGTATCTGCTGCCCCCAGAAAGAACTATAATGGTTTGGTTCACCGATGAATCACCAACTGCTAGCACTCTGCTTGGCACACACTAGGTGATCAATAATATGTATTTTTAAATTAATGACACAGTCTCTTTGGTAGGTCCCAGGACTCCATATTTCTCCCTTGCATCAACATTTTTATTAATTACTTGAATGAAGATTACACAAGTCTGCTCAGGAGAACTGAAGTTGGCATCAATACTGGCCCCCAGAGAGCTGCAGAGCATAACATGTTAGCTAACAGAATCAACATTCTAAAGGACCAAAGGTCCAAATAAATAGAAATGAAAAGAGAACAAGTCATGGGAAGGTTCTAAATCCTCAACTAGGCAAAATCTGAGGTGGCGGTAGCTCACGTGTAAAAGGAGCTGGGCCAAAGTCTCCTAAATGTTACTCACTCTCAAGCCACTAACAAAGCACAGTGTCCAAATAAGGAGAAGGCAGTCCCATTCAGCCTGACCACCAGATACAAGTGCCACACATTAATGGAACACTGATGAAGGGGCTCATGATCTGCAAAGTGGTCACTGCCCTGTTGGCACCTTGTAGGTGTTCAACAGAAATTTACTGAAGGAACATAGAGATTAACTGATGGAAGTAGATATACTTAGCCTGAAATAAAACAGACCAAATAAGAGCGTATCTGTTTTAAATATATGAAGAGCTCTTATCTAACAGACTCTCTGTGATGTGCAGCTCCAGAGGACAGAACAGGGATATATGGGTCCATCATGTAGGCAGGCAGATTTAGGCTCATACAAGGAGGGATAACATAAATGTAACATGGTAGATCCCCATCTGCACAAGCGTCCATAAGGAGGCTAGAGAACCATCTGGCTGGGATGTTGTCAGTCAGGGATACCTTCCAACCCAAGTCCCAGTTTTCTAAGAATTTAATGGAACTGAATGCATTAAGGTGAGAGAGGACATGAAAGAAATATTCCATTTGTAACATAAATAACCTTTGTGCTACAAATACAGAGCTTAGAATGATGCATTCCTTGAAGGGTTTCATAAACTCACTCACGAAACTATCTGGTCTAGCATCTTTTCAGGATGTATTTCCTCAACCTTTCCAGTTTCTTCCACGAAACTTTTCACGTTTTCAATTTCTTTTTTAGTCAATTTTGGCAGCTCCTATTTTCTTCGAAAAATCTGTTTCTTTCAAGATTTTCAAGTGTATTATCAAAGTTAAACATGAAAATGTCATTTTTGTCAACTCCAGATCAGTGGTTAGAGTCTCATTTCTACATTTTGTGTTTTTCTTTGGTTGGCATGGTTAGGTTTACCTATGTCATATTTCCAAGAATAGTCCTTAAATTTATTAAGTAATATCATTTTCCTACTTCATAATGAACTTACTTCTTCTATATAAATATCTTGCTTCTGTTTTTCTTCAGTTTGTTCTATTCTTTGATTTTATGAGTTGAAAGCATGGTTCATTAATTTTTAGTATTTTTTTGTTCAATAATAAAAGCATTAAAGTCTACACATATATCTCTGATATTGGCTTTATCCTGTTATAAACTACTCAAAAAGTAAGACTGTTTTCATATGTAGTAACTATTACCAGTTAGAAAAAGTACACACACACACACACACACACACACCCACACACACACACACACTTCATCTAGGAATAAACTTAGTAAGTGTAAAGTTCCCATATAATGACAGTTTCAAAACTTTCTAAACAACGTATGTTTTGAATCAATAATGAAAAGTACTTTGCCCTTGATTTCAAAGTAATCAGTGGGATTATGCTATTAGATATGGAAATGTTAAAAAGCTATAATAATTAAAACCATTTTGGTTCTGATACAAGAGTATACATAGTGGTTAGTAAAATAGTCCAGAAAATCCTAAAACAAATTTTACACATGAGACTTTAGTATATGATAAAAGTGGCTTCAAATTAATGGGAAAAATTGGATTATTAAATATGGATCACTTGAAAAAAATCTTAGTCAGATCCCTGCCTCACACTATACATAGAAACATCCATTTTGGTTGAAATAAAATATTAAAAGTAAAAAAAAAAAGAAAAGAAATGCAGATATAATCTTAGAGATCCCAAGCTTGACACTAACGGCAGAACCCATAAAGATATGTAACTACAAGGGTGCCTGGGTGGCTCAGTCAGTTAAGCATCCGACTTTGGCTCAGGTCATGATCTCACAGTTTGTGGGTTCGAGCCCCACGTCGGGCTCTGTACTGACAGCTCAGAGCCTGGAGCCTGCTTTGGATTCTATGTCTCCCTCTCTCTCTGCCTCTCCTCCACTCATGCTCTGGCTCTCTCTGTCTCTCAAAACAACGAATAAACGTTAAAAAAAATTTTAAGAATACTCAACATAGCTCCTCATCAGGGAAATACAAATCAAAACCACACTCAGATATCACCTCACGCCAGTCAGAGTGGCCAAAATGAACAAGTCAGGAGACTACAGACGCTGGAGAGGATGTGGAGAAACGGGAACCCTCTTGCACTGTTGGTGGGAATGCAAATTGGTGCAGCCACTCTGGAAAACAGTGTTGGAGGTTCCTCAAAAAATTAAAAATAGACCTACCCTATGACCCAGCAATAGCACTGTTAGGAATTTACCCAAGGGATACAGGAGTACTGATGCATAGGGACACTTGTGCCCCAATGTTTATAGCAGCACTCTCAACAATAGCCAAATTATGGAAAGAGCCTAAATGTCCATCAACTGATGAATGGATAAAGAAATTGTGGTTTATATACACAATGGAGTACTACGTGGCAATGAGAAAGAATGAAATACGGCCCTTTGTAGCAACATGGATGGAACTGGAGAGTGTGATGCTAAGTGAAATAAGCCATACAGAGAAAGACAGATGCCATATGGTTTCACTCTTATGTGGATCCTGAGAAACTTAACAGAAACCCATGGGGGAGGGGAAGGAAAAAAAAAAAAGAGGCTAGAGTGCGAGACAGCCAAAGCATAAGAGACTCTTAAAAACTGAGAACAAACTGAGGGTTGATGGGGGGTGGAGGGAGGGGAGGGTGGGTGATGGGTATTGAGGAGGACACTGGGTGTTGTATGGAAACCAATTTGACAATAAACTTCATATATTGAAAAAAAATTTAAGATATGTGACTACATAAATTTAAACCTCTGTACAAAAGTAAAGCCATGACCAGAATTAAAAGGTAATCAAACCAAAAATATCTAAATTATATACAGAATACAAAGGTGGAGATTCTTCATATATAAAATGTCTATATGTCTAAATAAAAAGAACACATAATGGGAAAAGTAAAGGATATTACCAAGAAGTTCATGAGGCAGCCAAATATACAAAGAAATGTTTAATTTAAAGGCAGCAAGCAAATGTAAAATAAAATGTAATATGTTTGATTAAAGTGTGTTAATAATTAAAGTGATTACTAATACTTATGAGAGTCGGGGAAATTTTTAAATGTTAAATTTTAAATGTTAAATTTTTAAATGTTACTGATGTGAGGGTAATAATCTGATCTTCATTTTTCTTTCTTATAAGATTAGCATAGTCATGCTGATTGCATATGGCTACCTTAACAGTTTGGAAATAGCTATCAAAAGACTTAACAAGATTCACTAAGTCTCTTATCTGCCTTAGGAATTATCAAAGATGTCCTGGAAAATGGATGTAAGTTTAAGTTATTTAAAAGATTAAATACTAGAAATCCAAAGCCTAACACAGTCTATTTAAAATAATTACAATACAACAAGAAGGTAAAATACTATATACATTGCTAAAAATTATAATCTTGAGGCATGTAAGAAAATGTTCATTAAATAATAAGTAAAAAGGGAGCTTACAAACTATAGTTATTTAATATGGATAAGATGCCATTTAATAACCACATACTTTCTTCCTGTTATAAAAGAAAAAAATTAGGAAATCTACAAAACTGTAAAAGCTATTATCTCTAGTGGTGGGATTATTTGCTTTTCCATGTTTTCTGTATTTTCAATTTTTACTTTTACAATGAATATATTCTACTTTCAAAGAACCAAAAAAGTTGAACAACTTAGGTTCAAATTATGCAAATTTGCTAGGAGCACATTTTGATGAGACTAAATAAAAAAAGAGACTAGCTGTGAGTCCCCTCAGAAAGGAAGGCTGAGAGAATGACACCCCATCCTTCATGAAAATTCGGCTGAAGTCAGCATGGCTGGTGACCATTTGGAATGAGACCAAATGGGCTCTGGCTGTAGCAGAGCAGGCAGCGTGCTCCATGGAAGGCCCTTCACAGCGGTGGGCTTGGGGGGGGGGGGGGGGGGGGGGGAGGGCTTCCACATGGGTGCCTGGAACAGCGTCCTCATTCCCTAGCTGGAGCCCAGCAGGACAGCTCAGAGGACTTCAAAGGACAATGGAGTCCATGTGCCACTCGCCCAGCAGGCAGCCCTCGCCTCTGCCCAGAGAACCTCACAATAGTTAACTCATCCTGCAAGGACTCAAGTCAGTGGTTAACTCCAAGCCCTGAAAGAAATACTAACTGGCAGTCCTAGCCAAATCCTCTCTGGTTTAACTGGTTTCAACCTTTAAGCTGGAGTCTGCAGCTGGGCAGAGCCACCGCCTGTCCCCAGCTGAGGCTGCCAGGGCCCTTGGCAGAGTCCTGGGGCTGAGCTCTGTCCACAGAGCAAGACAGCTCTGGGGCATGGAAAAGCAGGGAGAGGCTGGGCGCCAACCTCCTCCCCAGCTGTTTTCAATAAGGCTCCACTTCTGAGGTTGCTGGCAGACCTCTGGAAAGATCTAAACCAACCTCACATAATGTTTTCCATCAAGCCCACAATTAAGTGATATTCTCTTAACTCATGAACTGCACACGAAACCTTTTGCCTGTCACTTCTCAGCTCCTCTCCTAAGCAACGTACAAGCAGGTCAGGCTGGGGTTCTAACACTTTTGCAGGGTCACAAAGACCACAGCACAGGCCTTCCAAGGCCTTCCACTCTTCCTCCTGCTACACAGGATGGAAGGGATGGACGTTTGACCTCACTGTGCACATCATTTCACTTAATCTTCCCAATAGACCTGGAAGGTCCTCATTACTACGCTAATTTTACAGGTAAGGAAAATGAAGGTCAAAGCAGGTAAGTTATTTGTACAAGGTCTCTAAATTCATGCTTTTTCCACTGTAGCCTTTCAGGGGAGTAATAGGATCACAGGCAAGAAGGTTCCAGATATCAAAAAGCTATTCCAATACCACCTAGTCTTTTGACAAGATTTTTCACCAGTGCCCCTTCCCCAACTCCCACAGGAGTATTCTTGAGAGCATAATTGAGCACCATGTCCTTCTTTTGTGACTGAATAAATTAACGATATAAATTAATAAATTGATAAATTAACCAGGACTGGGAAGCCAGCACCAGGAGGTGAAGCCAGAGGACAGTTGCAGACTGAGGCCCAATGAAGGATTCTGGCTCGGAGAGCAGTGTGGCAGAGATGGGGAAGAACCAGACTGAGAGGTGAGGCAGGAAGATGCTGGCGGAAGGGCGTGCCACGAGGACAGAGTGTGCACAACACAGATGCAGGAGCAGATGGGTCCTAAAGACTGGGGCTGTCTCATCCCTCACTGATGCCAGTGCTAGCTGAAGACTAGCCTAATGGAAAGCATTTGAACTTAAAAATGCCCAAAGCCTTTCTTCCACGAATCCCCCTGCTATAAACTAAGCTAACCCAGGATATGGCATTGAAAGCCTCATATAAAGATGGTCATCAGAATTTAATTTGTAAAATGAAATATTAAAAATAATCTAAATAACCACCAGTAGAGAAATGTCTCAGTAAATGGTAGTATGTCGAATTTAATGGAATATTAACCATTAAAATTATGTTGACAGTGATTTGAAGAACGAAGTGTTGGGTGAAAAAAGCAGGATACAGGGGCGCCTGGGTGGCGCAGTCGGTTAAGCGTCCGACTTCAGCCAGGTCACGATCTCGCGGTCCGTGAGTTCGAGCCCCGCGTCGGGCTCTGGGCTGATGGCTCAGAGCCTGGAGCCTGTTTCCGATTCTGTGTCTCCCTCTCTGTCTGCCCCTCCCCTGTTCATGCTCTGTCTCTCTCTGTCCCAAAAATAAATAAAAACGTTGAAAAAAAATTAAAAAAAAAAAGCAGGATACAAAACAGTATGAATGATTTTAATTATGACTATCAGTGATTAAGCACTTATTTATATGACATATATAGCAAATATACTTTCTTTAAACAATGCCACAATATGGGTAGTAGTATTCCTATTTACAGATAGGAAAGTGACTTCCAGAGTAACTAAGCAAATTACCCAAGGTTACAGCTACAAAAGGATGGGACTGAATTCAAAATCAAGTCTGGCCCCTGCCCCTATAAATCCTATAGTTATCCTTATCTTGACAACAAAAGAAACCCCCAGCTTAACAAAGAAACACAAGAACCATCAAACAAAATTATAATATAGCAAGGTGGAACGATGAGTAAGTAGTTTTAAGCTTTTTTCTACTTTTGCTTTTCTAAATGTTCTTAAATAGCATATTATATTTTTACTTTAAAACATTCTTAGAACAAGACTTTTAGAGTGGTGTTATGGCAGACCAGTGATCCTGATCATATTACTGGTACAATGCCTATCATTTTATTAGGCAACTACTATGTGCTGGCACACTTCTATTGTATCAACCCTCCCTCCCACTCATGCTGTGAAATGGGAATTATTATTCCCAGCTCATCTGTGAAGCTTAGAGAACTAAGTAGAAGAAATTCAAACCCAGATGTCCTGGCTGCAAAGCCCATGGTCTTTCTACTCCTCCCACGGCCCCATTGCACAAGGTATGCACGGAGGTTCTCTGTGTCCTGCCCTGACATTTTATGACCATTTGAGCCTTGGCAAGCACATGCTTATGAGCACAGGGCTGGCCACTTCTTCCTGAAGAAGAAGTCAAGGTGAACTAGGCCTCCCAGAGGCACTGATGGCCTTCAGCCACAGCGGGAGTTCTGTCTACTTACCGCACCCCCCCTCCCCCACAACTTCTACCTCTGGAGGCCACAC